ACGCATTTAGCTAAACGTCTCCCACAAAACAGAGGATGGATTTTTATCAGAACGCACCAAAAATAATCACCAGATCTACAGCTGATTAATTTCTGGATTCAGTTCAAGGAGCTGACCGGACGAAACGCAACAATGGCTACAACTCTGGTGGTGGTAGCTGAGACTCCACCCTAACGTGCTCTGAGCGCCACGCATTGAGACAGAGAAAACTTTAGCACGAACTGAGGGGTCAACCTGCCTGTTAGCAAAATATCACCTGAGCCACGGGAAATATATATTTTTTTAATTAAAATCACAGATAATAATCGACATCCGACACAAAATACCAATTAGCCTTTGCAAACACAAACCTCTGCTGCTGATGTCTTGCCTTTAAGCTGCTATATTCACCCATCTGCTCATGTTCAGGCTGCTGTTGAATACATTGTATTATATTACATTATTATTGTTTAGCGTATACTATCTTCCCTTTTTTAATACTTTATATTTTTCACATTTTTGGTGGGACCTACACAATTTCGTTCCTCCTCATGATGCGAATGACAATAAAGAACCTTGAACTCAGTTTAACAGAACGTGAGCTCAGGGTGGTAGTAGCTGAGAGTCATCCCCAACACACATTGAGTTCCCGCATTGTTTTCTGTATGTCTGACCCGCAGCTTGGTCACATCAGGGCATAAGATGAGTTTTAAAACTCAGCGGACAATATGCATTCTTTTATGTAATGCCTGTAACGGTGATGTAACTGTTGGTTATTATGAGCGCATGCTTTTATTTTCCTAACACAAAAGCGGCTCATCCATCCAGCTCGTGCAATGACCTCACATGCCCACCGATGGGAAAGGGGAGGGAAGGGAGGGCAGTGTTGCGCCCGGCGAAAGAGGCCCTCTCCCGGCTGCTTCCCGGCAGTCCCAGCCCCCTATGGGTTTACCGGCACATGTGGTCCCCTTTAAGCCTATTCAGTCCAAAGTCCACGAGTCTGGACATAACACCTGTCACCAAAGTTTTGTTATTTTCAAAGCAAAGGCATGCAGCCAAATAACTAAAAATAACGCATGTAAAATATAGCATTTTCCGCAAAATAACAAAAGTGATGTCTTTTTGTAAATCAGTGATTTCTCTCTTTTTTATTTTTTACTGCAACTTAAATAGACGACTTGGGAAACATCTGTTTTCTCTTAAAGTTTTTGTTAATTATTATTTTTTTAGACAATTATTGTCCCCACACAGAAACATCGAAACGTATTAACAAACCATTAAATAGACATATTGAAGCTTGTGCTCCTGCCAACCCGTCAAAAAGAGCAGTCCAGACGGGTTGTTTTGGTGTCCGGTTTCATTCGGTTGCTTTACTGGCACAGATGTTCCGAGATCGTCACAAATAAAGAGGTGTCACTCTGTCGCTGCTTCTTTTGGGTCGTTGAGTGACGTCATTGCGTGTTGTGTGTGTGCGTGAATCTTACTGCGTTTCTCGGGGCAACGCGCATCGGTCATGTTTCTTTTTTTTTTTTCTCCGTGAAGCATGATGAAGTGAGCTATCGCGACATATTAAACGATCTTTGTTATGTCGCGTCATTTACGTGCCAGGGTTGGGCGTTGCTGTGGCAACCAGGAATGTTGAACAAAACAGGCGCGCGGGAAACAAACCACAAATCTTCCGACATGAGCCGCCGCACTTTGACACAATGACACCGTTATTAATGTTTTATGCGTGAATGAGGCTGAGAGTTCACGTTGAATTTGAACAAAAACACAACAAATACCCAAAACACCACGAAGAACATAAAAACCTGTAATATTACGCCTATATTGTTGCAACAAAGTTTTATCTAAAATCAATTTTAAACTAAGATTAAAGTATATATATATATTAAATGTGTTCAAAAACATTTTTTTTTCAAACCTTTAACAAAATTTCTAGTAAACCCTTGCTTATTTTTGTGCTAAATGTTCTCTATACCAAATTTTAAAGAAGTGTGGGGGGTGTTTATGTGAATACTTGCAGAAAACCCAACATTTTAAGGAGCATTTTCAAACCACCTCCTTATGTAAATCTTGCGGTGAGGCCTGAGGATTCCCTCTGCTGTTTTGTCAGTGGAACCTGTTTTACACACCTCAAACAGGTAATCCTGCACGCTCTGCAACCAACCCAGGCTTGCACACATTTGTTGCCTGGGGTGTGTAAAGTAAAACACATGTAACCTCTGACATAGACTGCTCTTTAGGATTGTTTACATGGCACAGTTATGCCTATAAACAAAGTCTGTTAAAATAGTGCAAAATATAGGCCCATAAACTTTCAAAATAAAAGCTTCGCTTGCAAAAGAATTTGGGCAACATTTACAAAACAGTTTATGGACAAATTAAATGATCTCTTTCTTAAACTAAGTATTGTGACAAATATTACACATTGGAACTTTTATAGCAAATATTGCATTTGTTTTAGAAAGGTCATCAGAAACTACTCAGTGATAAAACAAAATTCTGAGCCTTTAAATTGATAACTATTCTGGGAACTTTATGCTGAAATAACTTACACGCTCTCTGAAAATGCATTTTAAAAATGAAATATTTTGTATGAGCTCTGTTAGTTCAGACCGGTTAAGACTAGTATTTAATTTTAGTTTTGATATGAGTAGGACGCTGCCTCGCTGACCCTTGTCCCAGTTTTTTTCTTTTTCAGTTCTCACAACAGCCTCTGTGTTTGTTGTTTTACATAACGTCATGCCGCCGCTGCTCGCTCGGATGGTGTTTCCCATCAAGGCCCGCCCACCGCACAGGATGATGCGCCATATATGGTAAACTACGTATCGGGGATTCCTTTTTTTTTCTGGAATCTTCCATTTCTCGTCGCGCGTTTTAAAATACATAAAAAAAAAAACTTATTGTTTTCGTCGTCGAGCGATTAAAACAAGCCTCGTGTCGTCAAATGGATTGTATTATGCAAAGAAAGCGAACGCTTGCAGTTTTTGCTGCGTTGCTATGCTAGTGTTTGTATGGTTTCCTCCTCCCGGTTTCGGAGCACGCCCCTTTTTGTCGACGTCATCACGTCGCTGTGGCTATAAAAGCGCTTTCAGCGGCCAGAGAAGGCAGATTAACTTTGAGTAGAGGAGCAAAAACTACGGAACTATAACAGAGAAGAGCGCTTTTAAAAGTTCTTTTTTATTATTTCAAACCTACAAAAGGGATTTTCTTCACCTAAAGTTTACATTTTCCCTTTAGTAGAGTTTGTTTGGATACTTCTTTCTGAAAGATGATGTTCACCGCGTTCAACACGGAGTGCGACTCTTCTTCCCGCTGCAGCACAGCTTCCCCGTCCGTGGACAATCTGGGATACTACGCGTCCCCGGCCGGATCTTACTCCAGCATTGGATCTCCTCAGTCTCAGGTAGGTTCGGACAAGCATCAGTTTTATTAAATACAATGAAGTTCAAATCGTTACTTAAAAAAACAACTTATAGTTTTTTTGAATATTTAGAGAAAAGCTGTGCTATTTCTTTTCATTCGTTCACCTGGAAACTCCATAGGGAGCGCGTGTAACGTCATAGTTGACATCACAGGGATATTTTTAAACAGTCAAGCTTTTTCTGCAAGCCAAACTCCCTCATCCAATTAAACGCTTCTTTCTATTATTTCTTTCAGGACTTCACAGACCTGACAGCATCAAGTGCCTCCTTCATCCCCACTGTCACTGCCATATCCACCAGCCCAGACCTGCAGTGGATGGTGCAGCCTCTGGTCTCCTCGGTGGCCCCCTCTCGCAGAGCTCACCCCTACACCTCCAGCCCTTGCCCGGCCTACCCCAGATCAGCCATGAAGTCTGCATCCAAGGCTCACAACTCTACCAAAAGGGGCAGGATGGAACAGGTAATTATTGTGTAATTACACTTTAGAGATGCCGCATGATAGCTGAAAGCATAGAGCAGAAGTCTTATTTTGTTCTCTTCTGTCATGTGCAGTTGAACCCTGAGGAGGAAGAGAAGCGAAGAATTCGCAGAGAGAGAAACAAGCAGGCAGCAGCTAAATGCCGCAACAGGAGGCGAGAGCTTACAGACACCCTGCAAGCTGTAAGTATCCCAAAATATTTCATTTATCAACATGGATTTACTGCCAGAGCTGATAGCAGAGCAATCCAACTAAATGTCACTTCCTCTTTCTTTCTCAGGAAACTGATGTGCTTGAGGATGAGAAGTCTAGCCTGCAGAACGATATTGCCAACCTGATGAAGGAGAAGGAAAGGCTTGAGTTCATCCTGGCGGCCCACCAACCCATCTGCAAAATTCCCTCTGAGCTGGAGACAGACTTCCTTGTGACCTCCATCTCTCCGCCACACACCTCCACCGTGCCTTCCTCCCAGCCAATGACCTCCACCTTCTCTTCCAGCCAGCCAACCTTCACCTCAGCCTCCAACTCTATTTTCTCCAGCCCCACCTCCATCCTCTCCGCCGCCACAACGTCCAACAGCGCCACAGTCAAGATGACAGACCTGGACTCCTCCGTCCTGGAAGAATCCCTGGACCTGCTGGCCAAGACGGAAATGGAGACAGCGCGGTCGGTGCCTGAGGTGGACCTGTCCAGCTCCATCTACACAAGTCAGGACTGGGAGCCCCTTCACACCTCAACCAGCAACAACAATGACTTTGAGTCCCTGTGCACACCCGTGGTGACCTGCACTCCGGCCTGCACCACCTACACGTCTTCGTTCACGTTCACTTTCCCAGAGGCGGAGACCTTCCCCACCTGTGGTATGGCCCACAGGAGAGGCAGCAGCAGCAATGACCAGTCCTCTGACTCTCTCAGCTCCCCCACTCTGCTGGCCCTTTAAAGACTTTTCTAGAGACAATAATTCTTCCTCAGCAAGCACATTTTCTTGAACTATGTGCAGATTTCAGGGCTATGGAGCAGATATGTACCAGGAAAGCAAATTATTAATGATCTTACCTGCCTTTATCAATATATACTTGCCTATTACACCAATGTAGCAAGTTAATAAGCATGCTTCAAATAGTAGTCGTTATGAGTTTCTATATGATTAAATGGTGCTATATAACAAAACATTGTTTCTTGATGTGTGGTCAGAGCAATAGTTATTATTTGTATTTTGGTTAAGAGTAACTGTGTGCTGTTTGTGAACCTTTAAAGATGGCGTGCTTCGTCTTAACCATGGTGTGAGTGGTCTATCAAACTATGAAGTTTTCTGTGAAAACATTTGTGCTTTTAATTTATTAAATTTTTATTTTTCTACATAGTTTAAAAAAAATTGTAAATGATGTGAATAAAAAATATAGAGATATTTAAATTCATGTTGCTTCTGCTTTTGTGATTTTTTTCACGGTGATTCCTAAAAACGAGCCTGTTTCGGGGATAGCAGTACTTTTCCTTCTCCGCAACCGGCTCTATTTATTGTTCCGTCTGTTGCCAGGGCTGGCTAAACGTCAGGGGTCTGACGTCAGTGCGTTCTTTCCATTTTTTTCGGTTTGCAAGCTATGCGTGATGACGTCACACTTCCGTGCCCAAATATAGAACCCTACGGGTAGTCGCTGCTCCCGTCTGTCTGCACAGCAGCAGCAGAGAAGAACCGACTGCGAACTCACAAAAACGGACAGAAAATACAAGTTTAGCTCCTGGAAGGTTTCCTCTGAAGGTAGAAGCCTTTTCGGTTGTTGGTGCCTCCGCCGAAAAGCGGAAAGAAGCGACACATTTGTTCCGCAATCCGACCCGTAACGTTTCTCTCATCTGCGGCTGCGCGAACTCACGAGAGGATCTGAAAGCGACGCTCCGACCGCAGCTGATGCTGGTCTTCACTCTGAATGCGTCAAAACACGACCCCAAGACGCAAAAATGGAGAAGTCAAACATTCCGCATAAGTGGTAAAAATTCAGGAAGACGTTTGGACACTTTACGTATTAGTGTAGTAGTGATGATCAAGTCTTTTAGCAAAATTTCTCATGACCCACTGGCCGGATTTAAATGAAACTCTCAGAAAATAATCATTGGGTGTGTATCTACAGCTGATAAGCTATTGGAGTCAAGATGGCCACCACCGCTAAGACAACCTAGAAAGCATAAAAATAACTATAACTCAGCCAATTTTACAGATATTGAGCTATCATCTGATTTGGTAGTAGCTGAGATGCATTCCCAAGACAGACATTGAGTGCCAATTAAGTGCACAAGATCTGAATTTTGCCTTTAACTGTTAGAGTCAACTGTATCTGGCTGTTAGCAAAATGTCTGAATTCAAATTAAACTAAGAAAACAATCATTGGGTGTAGCTACAACTGTTTAACTTTATAGATCAACCCACTTCAAAATGATTTTCACAGCCAACTAACCACATGAAACATTAAAACAGCCCAACCCAGCCAGTTTCACAGATGTTGAGTTAAAATTTGGTGTGCTATTAACGGAGTGTCGTCCCCAACACATACTCCAAGCACTACACATTGCATTATATTTTTCCTCAAAACTTTGGCAACAACTATTTGTGTCGTTCTTTGTCTCTTTGCAAAAGTATCTCAAGAACCAGTGGAAGGAGTTTAACGAAACTCTTAGATAGCAATTAAGTCAATAACATTTGGAGTTAACCCAATTCAAGATGACTGCCAGAGCTAATCAACCTTAAAAATGGCTCTAACTCAGTCAGTTTTACATATATTAGGTGTAATAGTACGCACAGTGATTGCTGGACATGGGCACCAGTGACCCCCGTGACCCAAAATGGAATAAACAGGTAAAGATAATGGATGGATGGATGGATGAAGGTGTAATAGTAGTTGAGACTTGAGAGTCATTCGTATCCCATTCTTCAAGAGTTAACACATCTCTTGAGGTTGTGCACGAACAAGGTTTGACCAAAATTGCTACAACAATTTTCATAAGATTATCAGGTAAAAACTGGTTTGAAAGGCAGCCTTCCTAATGCTACACCTTTCCTTTAGCTTTTATTAAACTTCTGTTGGCTGCATTATAACTGAAGAAATGCTAATAATAATCAAATTATTCTGTTGTCATCTCCTTTGCAAAACAAAACTGTGCAACATTTTCACTACTTCAAATCTTTTTCTCGTGTTTCTCCTGCCTGATTCGTTTGATTCATCTCGATTTCACCATGTACCAAATAACTGGAACAGGGGTTGCCTAATAGCTTTGACAGGAAGTGTGCGATGAGTGCGTGTGAAGGATAAACACTCTGGAAGTCTGACAATAACTAACCAACTCTGACGTTTGACGTGGTCACACCCTAACGTGTAACACAACACCATGATGTAGCACTTTCTGCACTGATTCAGGCCTTTCCCTCGAAGAAGGTGGAGAAAATAGAAACGTGTTTCAAGCAGCTCAAATGTGCAAAAATAGAATATTTGCGTATGAAGATGTTTAAGATGAACTTTGACGTGTGCTCCATTAGCTTGCTGCTGCTGCATAACGTGCTTTCCTCTCCGTTTTTCAAAGCTAAAGCTCCTTTTCCCCCTCAGTAAAGCTCATACGAGCAACCCGTTCTATTAATATAACTCAGGGAGGTGGGGTAGCAGCAGAAATAGCAGGTGCCTATTGCTTCTTTTAAACATCAGCATCAACAGCAGTAAAATTAGACCACTGTGACGCCAACCTGCGTCTGTGCTGCAACCCATGGGGAGGAACCAGGCAGTGTATGGCGACGACAGAAAAAGACAAGGAAAGCAAAGGGGAAGGAGAGGAGGAGGAGGATGAGTTTGCAGCAGGGAGGGAGGCAGACAGAGATCCCCTGCCTCTGTGGAAGTGTGAGAACAGCGATGATGAAACAGCAGAGCTCGCCTACGTGCTTAAAAACACAGGCGCTCTGTTTGGCTTGGCTCCACTTTCGCAGAGACCCAGGTACTTTTTTTGCTAAGAGATGTCCACAAGTGATTTACAAAGCCATAAATGGTCTTCCTCCTGCGGGTGAGGGTCTGTCTGAGTGGGAAAAGTGACAGTTCTTATTTTATACTAAAGCAAATCTGGCTCAGATGCATGCCATCTGAGCCAGATTGTAATGATAATTCAAGGTGCAAAGTCATGAAGAATGGTTAAAAAGAAGACTGCAAAAAAAACAAAAAAACAAAATGCACACAAAATATTTCTCATATCGAGGGTTTATGTGTCCATTAAAAATTTGTAAAAGGGTGCTAACTACTTTGTGTGTATTGGCAAAATGACTGAAAATAAGTCGATAGGGACGTCTATCTGGGAAAAGTCCAACAGTTTTTGATGTACTGGTAGGTATACTTTCAGATAGGATGATTCAACCTTTAATAGACTGGAGTTGAAAAGAACGTACCGATCTAGCAAAGGTTTTGCAAAAGCCGCATGTGATTGAATGCCAGTCCCCGTCTTTATGGGGCTCCTCCACCCTGCTTGACTTCATTCTTAATCGTATTTCTCTTTTCTTTTGTGTTGTGCGGCTGCACATAAAAGTCCAAAATTCTACCGATGGTTAAAATCCACCAAATTTCTTAACCTATACAAAATGATTCAGCTGAGCTTTGTTTACAATGAGTGCAGTCGCATTTCAGAATTGTACATCAAAATATCTGGAAAAGTAACCCCCCTTTAAACTGCACCATTTAGGTAAAACAGTTTTTATGATTTATTTTGTATTTTTGCAACGAGATGGTGTTATTTCTAATGAACACTTCTGGTTTGACCATATCTGGATTACGTACTATTACCAGCTTCCGCCTGCTGTTTTTTTTTTTTTTTTTTTTTTAATCTTTTTAGTTTATTTATTTTTTCAGCATCAGGAACAAGCCCAAATGACAGCAGTTATTTGCAGGGTGTGTAGAGGCTTACGTCAGCAGAGGACACATTTTAGGAAGTGGGTTGTTGTGCAGTCAGCTTTGACACAGAGCCAAGAAGTATAAAAAAAAAAAAAAAAGATGAGCTAATTGCTCATGAGAAAAAAAAAAACGTTACAGGTAGGGAACAGGTGGCAGAACACGTGATTGTGAAAGTATTCACCCCCTTGAAATTGTTTCTGCTGTCTTGTCGGACAACCTTGAATTTGAATAGGCTTTCAACTTGAATCAGTAACTTGAATTAAAGTAATGAAACTGCATGTTTAAGTTAAAAATACTGGTTTAATTCACAGGGAAAAGCTTATTTTAAATACTTAGCAAACATTGAAGGAATGCACATCACCCGCTGCCTTTCTTTGCTAGTTGGGACTAAGATCATGTGTTATTAAATGATTGAGTGGTATTTGTTTTAGTCAAACATTGTATGTATTGGTTTTGACTCTCAGCTACTACCACACCAGATTTTAGCTCAATGCATGAAAAATTGACTGAATTATAGCCATTTTTGTGTTGACTACTATTGATTAGCTGTGGCAGTCATCTTGATTTTACTTGACTCCAAAAGTTAATCATTCATTCAAGCTTTATTTAGACAGATTAATCACATTGAGCCTCGGGGACTCGTTTATAAGTGAGATCTGTTTAGACAGACAAAAAAGTAATGAAAGTGAAAACAAGTAGGATTTGGAGGCAAAAAAAAAAAACGGACTCTCAATCCATGGCCAAGGACAGAGAGCCTGAAATTGAAAAAAACACCCGCACACAAGCACATAGTGAAGCAGACATTCTGCAGGGTAGGGGAGAAGACAAGAGCAGTGAAAGTGTTCAAGGACACCCCAGAGGCACTGTAGGAGTTCTGATAAGAATGGTTTAGTCAGCCAGTTCCCTCTAGTGAGATCCGTAAACTCTTTCATGAGGTGCCGAGGTCGACCAAGAACCACGTCAGAGAGAATCCAAGAGTCCTGAAATGATGACACTTACTCAGTGGGAGAGGGGAGGGCCAATTTTCAGTTCAGTTTGCAAAGCAATTGAGGCTGTGTGCTCGAGGCACGGAGCAAACCATCACATAAGGCCATCAGCCTGACCAGGGCT